AGTTGTACATGTACACCTACATTCGTATGTATGTATATATGTATATATGTATATGTGTGTGTGTACCAATTTACGTATGTATGTATGTATGCATGCATGTATGTATGTATGTATGTATGTATGTATGTACATTTGTTGGTTTATTTGTTCTTTGTGGATGCATGCATTTATGTATGTTTAGTGGGCTGTGTGCTGCACGTATGTAGGGTTCGATGTAGGTAATGTACACATGTATGCACGCATGCACGGAGGTATATATGTATGCATCGACGTATGTAGGTATGTACGCATGCACGTATGTGCATAGGTAGGCCTGTGTGTAATTACGTACGTATGCATGTACGTATGTACTTATGTATGTAGGTAGGTAGGTAGATAGGTAGGTAGGTAGATAGGTAGGTAGGTAGGTAGGTCGGTAGGTCGGTAATTAGGTCGGTAGGACGGTAGGTCGGTAGGTCGGTCGATCGGTAGGTAGGTAGCTAGCTAGCTAGCTAGCTAGCTAGCTAGCTAGCTAGGTAGGTAGGTAGGTAGGTAGGTAGGTAGGTAGGTAGGTATAGGTATGTAAATTGCACAAAGAATGCGCGCGTGCATGTTTGTACGTAGGCATGTATGCAACAACCAAGCAAGCAGTTCTAATATATATGTGTATATATACGTATAAAAAAAAATATATATATATATATATACATATGTATATGTGCGTGTCCGTGTGCCATATGTGCCGTGTTTGACGGTGCTTACACAACTCTGTCCGTTTGCCTGTCTTTCTGTCTATCTGTCTCTCTGTCTATCTGTCTCTGTCCATCTATTCACAGATGAGTATCTCATACATGCGTCCTCATTGTTACGTTGCTGTTGCAGTTGACAACCATCTCTTTCCGGCCTCTTCGTGCCTTTCTGCACATGTTGACAAAGCCCTCTTAAACTCGTATGTTGGAACATGATGTTATCCTGTGTCAGTCTTTCACATAAGGCGCAGGGCCGGGCATGTTATGTCGCTGTGGGAAGCTGATAGACACAAGGTCAGCGCAATCATAGCTGAGGCTGAGGCTGTCTTCTTTCTGTAGTCATTGAAAGCTAGCACTAGAGCCCCGGACATCACGCGAGGTGTTGGCCTATGCTCCGAGCACCAATGGCAAAGGCCAGTCCACCGAGATTGTAGCCGAGAAGATTGAAGCAAAACACAGTTGTGTAGCGAGGGGCATGCTGGATGCTCTGTCTGATCCAAAGCCACCTCGCTTTGTAGGTGTCGTCGTAGCCATGTGAGAGGGAAACAAACCGAAACTCTACCCATAGGCCCCAAAGTAGTTGCTTTCTGTGGTTTGTATTTAGGATCCCATTAGGTAATCCCAAAAGGGAACTACTATGGGGCCTATGGGTAAACCTTCAGCTGGTGAGGTGCCATGGTCTGGAATTTGGGCGCCCCGCCTCGGCCCCTCTTGCTGGCAAACGCAGAGTTGGGTTTTAGCGTGGTCAGGTTCAGAGTTTTAGGATTGAGAGTTTTTGAAAAGGGGGTACCCGGCAGTTGCAATAGGCCTGGATGCAAAAGGATTGAGAGTTGTGGGGTTAGGGTTCCTGGTAGGAAGACTAGGGTTTTAGTTTTTGGGGGGTCGCGTAGCTTTCGGTCGATACGATTCCAGAAAGATTTTCGGAGCTTGCGGCGTTGAGGGTTTCAGAGTTTGTGCTTGTAGGATTTTGGGTTTGAGCTTCTCGCGGTCTTTTTCGAGTGTAGTGTTTTGCTTGCAGAGGGTGGGGTTGATCGCTGCCTCGCATGAAATCCGAGCTCGATCTCGCACTCAACCCGAAACCCTGAACTAGCCATGTGGGCGCCAAGAGCCGAAGCCGCAAGGACCAAAACGCTTCCACGATCGCTTTTAAGCTTGGAGACTTATGCCGGGTCCTGTCCTCGCACTTCCGTGCTTTGGGCCCTCGACCCTAGACCGCACACTTATGGCAACCGTAGACCAGTCCCAGAGCCAACCATAAAATCGAATGTTGTAGGATTCCATGGCTACCCATGCATACCTGTGAAGACTGCTCCGAGGTACCCCGGTGACCCACAGGGCCAGGCCAATTCCGGCGGTGTGAAACAGTACATGGCCGTGAAGAAGGCGGGGTCAAGTTAGGGGTTTAAGTGCAAGGGTCGTCGAGATGCAGGAAGTAAGCCTTGCAACAGCCAGTATAGCGATCCTTTGGCTTGAGGTTTCTTTGGCTTCGAGAGGTAGATACACATACACTACAGGTTGTTAAGTGCTTTAAGGTTTACATGAGCAAACCAAGCCAAGCCAAGCCATTCCAACCTAAGAACTCTGAAAGCCCCTGTCTAACAGAAGAGCTTGTGTAACAGAAGATCCTGTGCACGACCCCGGCAACAGACACTAACAGAAGACCCTGTGTAAGAGACAGTGTCTACAAGTTGTCTAACCCCTCAACCCCTCACGAGCAGCAAAGGCCATGAAAATTAATATGCCGGTGCGCACACACACACACACACACACACACGTACATACACAAACACACACACACACAATCACACACACATATATATATATATACACACATCTGTGCCCTTATTTAAATGTCCTTTCAGAGGTTCCTTGCTTTGCTGCGAGAGTTCGGGACAGAAGGAGTTGAAATTTCAGGATGCACATTGAGGAAGCTGCTACGACAGCACAGTCTGTACAAACCATTGTGCCACCTCTGATATCAGTCATGGCATAATGCAATAGACTAAATTAGGCTTGATCTCATGGTCACCATGCCGACGTTTGAGGACGGCAAATGATGAGCTGCGAGGGCTTGACATCTAAGAGTAGAGACACTTCCAACCCTTGAGGCTGCAGTCGGCCCTCATGAGCTGCTAGAGACGATCTATACGGACGTAGACGACGAAGCGCCCCACCCTGCTGTCAAATCCATCTCAAGCATTTGCTGACACTTCGGCCCGTTCCTTCACTCACTAAGAGCCCTCCAAGCTGTGCCGGCCGAATTCCGAAAGGGACTATGTGTGTGATGTGCTTCTTCAGCAACGGAAGACCATCACTGTGGCTACGCTGTCAGCTAAGCCAGAATGTGCCAACTTAGGCTTTCAGTCTCCTCTGTGGTGACAGACGATTCAAATGGTTTGACGTTAAGTCCGACACCAGCAACCGTAACGCCGGTACCCGTATTCGGTACTTCGAGGTTCCCCACAGGTCCCCCTACAAATTGGCAGGGCCTAACAAGCTGTGCGCCAGGTGAACGACATCGATGTCGCCACGTGGGACCCTGCGGCGATTTTTGCTAGTCGAGCTTGAAGCGCTAAGCCTGCACAGAGCTTGAGAACTGGGTGCCTTGGGACGTCAGGCTGCCATGCGATAAATGTGCGCGATGCGTCGGACTTGGGCAGCCAAGCCTCCCAGCTAAACCCCGTGCCTTGCGTTTGGAGACCCCTTCATGGCCTCAGAGGTAAGATTCAGCCGCTGAGGGAATCGGGTGTTGTGAAGCATGGATAAGAGAGCTCGAGATTCAAAGGAAGGTTTGCGTCACACTGGGCCCTAAGCCCAACTCGGCAGGATTTCTGGGATATTATGGACCTCCTGGACGACAAGATCCTGGACAACTCTGCAGGCGAGGTAGGGTTCGGGGCTATGGAACTTGGAGTTTGGGGGTGAGGTTTCAGGGTTAAGGGCTTAGGGTACGGGCTAACAAAAAGGGCTTAGGGCGCATCCGGCGGTCTTTGCGTGTCCTTGCGATATTCGGGCCTTCGGCGAGTGTCGAAAAATGAGACGGTGTTTGAGGAAGCAGTCCGACTCCTTGCTGGGACGTTGCTGGCGATGAACCAAAACCAAGCATCAACATCCGAGACCCCTTCATCTTGCGATGGATGCACACGGTGGTCGTTGTTTACCTTTGGACTTGTGAGTCAGGTGTGCCGATGTCATGGGTGCTGCCATGGGATGTATGAGCTGGTGCAGTGAGCAGTGGCCATTGCCGAACACTGACATCTCATGTGATCGACCGTGATCCCCCAAGTCTGGGAAACGCCCGTCAGGCGTATATAACGCGAATACGGTGACAGCAAAGTACTGGGCAGCGCCATGCACGCGACCTACGTTCCAACATCATCCCGAATTAGCGAACAGTTCGAAACTTTCCGATGGTTCCAAACTCTCTGACACTGATCTTACACAGCTGAACCTCCTAAACCCTAAACCGTAGAACCTAGCAACCCAAAGAGCCCCGTCAAAGGTATCTTCCAGTCGAGTGGAAGCGGCACGATGGGTCCCTGGGTTTCAGCAGAAATACGGGATGCATGAGATTTCGACAAACCGGAACCCCAAAGCCCTAGGCCCTAGAGCCCTAGAGGATGTAGCTGGTAGGATGTTTTCCGAACATCCGCCACACCCTATTGCATTGCATAGAATATATGCATCCGAAGGCAGAATTTTCGTGAGTCACGATAGAGGTAAGAAACAGCAGAAACAGAAGTAAACCTCAGCATGTTCGGTACCTCGTGCCAGAAGAAGCAGAATTCAAAGTCGGAGGGGCCAGTGCCAGCCGTTTCCAGCCGTAAAATCAAAGACAACTGATACAGTTTGGGCATTTAAGGTCTGCTTCAGAAGTCGGTCCGCCTTGGTTGGTCGTATCCAGCATATCGCGTTCTGGAAGCTTCACGATGTCTTCTGTTCGCTTGGGGCCTTAACCCTCGACCCTGCGCCCTCAACCTCAAAACTCTAGGTATGGATGTTTGGTTGAGTTTAGGCTGTTATGGATTCTCTGGCCGTTGCGGACCTGGGCATTGCAGCAATAGCAGCGGCATGCATCGAAGATTTCCGATTTGAATGAAACCGTGCAGAAGCACGCACGAGAATAGCCGCCACCATAAAGCACTCATCATGCAGCTTCTGAGGCAACAAGCCGGCCGACCTTCCGGTGAGCATCGAGTATGTGGAGTTCTCCGACACCGGTGCGGCTACTGGACGCGAGACTATCTGACAGAACGTGCTAGGGGGTTCGGGGCTAGCCGGCTTTCGAGGCTGCTCCCGGCGAGCTCACACGCTCCGGCTCTGTTGGAAAAAACCTACGACTTTAAACCTGCCAATGTAGAAAATGCACGGAACCAGCTGCATCCCAGGCAGCAGCCCCGGCTGCGGCACCCGCTGCCTCCTCAGGTGGCCCGGTGGTTAGCAAATTTCCCCCGTTCTCCAGGGCGACATTTCAGGGTCATCAGGTCTCTTTGGGGGTGTCTGTGGACTTGCCTGATTGCTTTGACTCGCCTTAGGGTTTAAGAGTTTTGGGCCTGAGAACGGGACGGCACGGTTGCATGTTAAACATAATGGTAGATGTCCCAAGGTCGCGAGAGTCCGTGGTCATAACAGGGCATAGTCACTTGGGACACGGCTCGCTCTGAGCCTGGTTCCTTACACACGGCCGTGAAAAAACTTCATTCCAGGATGGCAGATGCAAGGTGCCTGCATGAACCTAACACCCGAAACCCGATACTCTAGACACTCGAGAACCCCATAACAAGCCCAGGAGAGATGTTGGTGGATCGTTCCGACGACCGCTACAAGGAGTCGGATGAAGGGTTCCGGGTACATGGCAGCGGTGAGCATGACATGAAAGCACCGTGAACTTCCGAAGGGAGGGGTTGCAACCGTGGCTTCAGATTGGACCCTCGCCGTGTCTTGGAGTGGTTTAGGGTGTGGGGGTTTACTAGGTGCGCAGGTTTTGATGCCGATTCTGGCAGGAGTTATCTTGCTGGGGCTGGGGCGGAACTGGCCCGAATATCGGATGCGCATGTTCAGAACAGAGCACGCGGACCGAATCCACGAGGTTTAAACTGAAGAGTTGCTCTGCATTAGAGGCTTTGTTAGATATGATGGAAGGACTTGTTACTACTGGACTACTACTACTACGGCTACTACTACTACTACTACTACTACTACTACTACTACTTCGTTACTGGGATCCGAGCGGGGGCTCCACAGGTTGGAACAGTCCCAGTACCGATGCTCGAATCTCCGGCCTGAAGCCATCGCAACAGGATTTGCCCAAGGATGCCACGATTCGCGAGCTGCTCGGCAAGCATGCAGAGATTTCGTGGCATCTTGCAGCCAGTGGCCCAACAAACTGCAATCTTAACCCATCGGCGCAGGCCTATCCAAGCTTTCCACGCGTTTCCCCTTTGAAGTTCACCACGTCAGATTTCTGAAAGGTACAAGATTCCAGTTGCACCTCCCAGCTATGCTCCCCAAGCTGTGGAAGGCCGCTTATCTCGCTACGGTATCGGGTTTGCAGCACAGAGGCGTTGGATTCCCAAGGGCCCCAAATTGATGGTGTCGGAAGGTTGGATTACTAAGGCCTGTGCCTGTTTCGCGGCATTATCAGGAGCAGGATGGAGAGCGTCACCATCACTAAACCATAGTGGCATATCAAAGCGCAAGTCTATGCATGTACACGGGTACCTGTATGCGTGGATGCCCTCCTGTGAGTACGCCACTTACCCAGCCCCGCTATTGTTCATTCGTGCGCATTGTTGTTTTGGTTTGTTTGTTTGTTTGTTTGTTTGTTTGTGTTTGTTTTTGTTTTCTGTCCGTGTGGTTAGATCTGTGAGCACGTACCTGTGATCGCATGCATGCATGCACACATATACATGCATGCATGCATAATTCCATACATGTGGAGTCTTGCTCGCCTCTATCTACCCTCCAGATTTCCCTTGTTTGGGATTCAGCAGTGGTCGCAGTGGCCTCTGAAGGGCGTGGGGTTCAGGCTTAGGGATGTGCGCCCCGGAGTCCGATGGTCGTGGAATCCGTCCAAGACGATTTTGGGGCTATAGTTGGTGGGCCTGCATTTAAACCATAGCAACCGTCACAGTTGTACTTAGACGATACTTTTATTTGGGATTTATTACTCGGGTTCAGGTCCAGTATTGCAGCTGCTGAGGCTCTCAGCTATATTCGTCCAAGTCCTAATGCCCGACGGATCCCGCAGAACTTTAGCGTTGCACCTCTTGCCGAATCAGCCTTTTTCTGCGTAGCAGGCCTCCGTGGCGCCGTGGCCAGCATGCCGGAACCTACCAACCACGTTGGCCCACGCTACATGGGGTATCCTGTCCTGTTTGGGTTGTTCTGGGCTTGCAGGCCTCGTTGGCAGAGATCTTGTGTGTTCCTCCCGATTTTCAGATGCGCCTGGACAACAATCTTGAGCCCGACGCCCGGAAGAAAAAAATAGTCGAACAAGCCAGCCTAAATCTTCCTCTAAGCCCGAAGCATCGCCGGGCACTGTCCTAGCTGTGCAGCAGGCCGGCAACACCTTGAAGCTCTAGACACGAAACTCTTCGAGTGTGAACGCCTAAGCCGCAAACCCTACAAACCTTCGGCTGGCTTTACGGTGGGCACAGTCTCGCTGGTAAGCTGACTCATAACACGGGGGCCTCCCGGCCCATATTTCATCCACTCTGGACTGTAGTACGGTATTGTCTGGAGTCGGCGCAGTGCACGTTGTAGCTCTCACTACAGGAACCCAGTTCTACACCGCCTCTGTGCAAAGTTTAGTCTTCCTTGGAACTCAACATCTGTATGTCTCACCTCCAACCGACTACGCACGAAGAACCTCGCCTGGTATGTCCGCGAGTGAGCGCCCTAACCCCTCGTCCGAGTTGTGAGAGCCTAAACCCTAAACCCCAACGGGTTAGTCGGGAGGCTTCTACGGACCGACAAAAGGAGCGTTCAAAAAACAAAAAACACCTAAACCCTATAAGCCGTATTTATAAACCCTCCTATAAACCCTATAAGCCCTATAAGCCCAATAAACCCTATAAGCCCTAAAAAATCTACAGACCCTATAAACCCTATAAGCCCTATATAAGCCCTAAATCCTACAGACTAAGCCCTTACACACCACGTCAAGGCCCGGCTCGCTGAACGAACAAAGCATCCGCGAGATGTTGGCGAGCTTCAAGCGCCTTTCTTGAGGATTAGTTTAGGGTTTAGGGTTAATGTAGGGGCCTTGATAATTAGAATAAGGTTTTGGGGTTCCTTCTTATCCTTACAGTGACAGCCGAAAAGTTGGAAGATGCACACCCAAAATTCCCGCACCCTCTGATTGGGCGAAAACGCATCTTCCAACTTTGGGTTCTTCCAA